GTACCAAAATTTTCAATTATTTATCTAGTGCTCTACAATTTGGCTAGGAAAAATTAATGTGACAACAGACTAAACCCTTCATGTTAGGACATCATAAATTTTGAAAACAGGTCAAAGTTGCCTAAAGACCACAAAAGAGTTGCAGCTGAGTATTTAACCAGTTTTTGTGGTGTTAGAGGAAATGATGTCATTTTATTGGGGGGGGGGGTATAATAACTGGGTTACCTCTCTCTCTCTCTCACTCCCTGCAAATCATGGTTTTAACTCACCTCAGTAACAAACGACCTTCTTCCCTCATAGTCGTACTCCCAGCCCTCTGTGCAGCCGGCTGTGGGGGTCCTCCTCAGGTCCAGTTCCTGCAGGTCACAGGTGGGTCCTGTAGAGTTCCAGTCCACCTGGTACCCCTCACAGCTGCTGTGCTTCAGGACCCCGGAGCTGTTGACCAGAGGGGCCGTCAGGCTGCGACTCTCCGCCGGGCTCCAGCCGCACGCCTGCCTCCTCTCCTGGGCCGCGGGGTCCCGGCACCAGTGATCCGGGGTGAAGCCCTGGAAGACGATGCCCACGTACACGCCCGCCCACGGCATGGACACCAGACACAGCAGGCCGAAGATCCGCTTCTGGCTGCGGCCGAACTTCCCCGCTTCGTCCAGGATGTCATCAAACGAAGCCATGGCAGCGCAGGAGTTTGGACAAACGGCTGATCTGTATTCTGAGCCTCTCTCTGCGCACTGAGCACTGAGGCTGCAGCACACTGGGCCTTTTTAACCACACAGACCGGAGCAAAGGTCCACAGAGACACCATGCTTCTTTACAGGCTGTGCAGCGGAGCAGAAAAACTCATTTGCTCCCAGTTTTCCAAGAAGTTCGAGACAAACGTAATAAGTTGACTGAACTCCTGCAGGAGCTGCTTAGACGTTCATTATGAGAAAAAACCAAAGAGTTAACATTTAAATACAGATTCTGGGTAAAAGATCGGTCACTTTGCAGGCAGAACATTTACAAATAAGTCCTTCACACCAGTTTTGAGCTACTTTAGATTTAAAATCCAATTTTTTTGAAGGCAAACAAATTAATCCAAGTKTGCTAATGCGATCAATTCAAATCAAGAGTCAACCTACAGCTTCTTAAACCAAACCTAAACATTAATAAGTTCAATAAGACTAATTACAAATTGGTTTTAAGTCTGAACATCTTTTAGTTTAATTATAAAATATAAATTTCCTGGAAAACCTTTGTATTAAAAAGAAAAAATCAGTAGTTCCTCTGGATGGTTCTTCTTTAGTGAAACGTTTCGTCTCTCCTCCAAGAGACTTCTTC